CGAGCTGCTCAAAGCGGGGAAGGTCAAGCGAAAACTTTTGGAGCAGGTTCTAGGCCTACTCATTTGGGCAACCAGTCTGAGCCCCGAACTCAGGTCCTGGCTGGCACCTTTGCATACAGATTTGCATTCACCGCCGGGTTGCATGATCTCTGTCCATGCGCGCTTGTGGCCATCCTTCCTTTCAGCATTGGACGCCAAAGCCGTGCTCAGGTCAGCAGTGCACGGCATCTTCATGCCACCAGGCTCTAAAGTTCTCGAGTTCCAAGGGGCATGCGTTCGCACGCCAGCTGACCTGCCTCGCGTTGTGCCTAGTCACAAATCCGCCTGGGTGCGCGTCGCGGACGCATCCGCAGAGCACACTCGCCTGTCCGATGAGCAAACACGGCGTAGAATGGTTGCTGCAATGCTTCCACTTAGACCTCGCATGCCCGCTGAGAAGCAAGCCAATGCAGATGCCTGCGCCGAGAGGGCAGTGTCGTGGGCATCGGGGGTTGGTTCATCACCAGCAGCTCCGTTTCTTGGTTCGCAGAAACTTGGCAATTCCAGGAAGTCCAAGAGCAGTGGCCGTGCCTCACCAAAGAAGCCCAGCGCTACATCGCGTGCTTCGAAACCTTGGCTCAACTAGCACTCATGCGTATCGCATGGTCCTGCGAGGGACAAAGCGTGCATGGCATTTGCATGCCCACAGGGACAGATAACACGGCCTCCGAGGCAGGCGTTAATAAACTATTCACCACAGCATGGCCCCTGCAAGTCTTTGTGCAACTTGTAGCCGCCTGGGCCCATAAACACAAATGGTCCGTGATCGCGTCACACATCCCAGGAGAGCACAACATCTGGGCGGACCAACTCAGCAGAGGTAATACCTCCGCTTTCTCAGAGTCGGCCGCATGCCAGAGTGCGCTTCAGGCCGCATGATTTCTGGCCTCACGCATCAGCTCTCACGCTTCACCCTGCGGACGCACCGTGGAGACCCGAGCACGTGATTGCATCGCAAACGCACTAAAGAGGGGGTGAGGTGATTTGACCGTTTGCTTAGAACCCTAAAGTGGGGGCATTCCGACAGGCTCCGCATGAGATGCAGGAAGATGGAGTGGACGCGCATCGTCACTCCACCTGCATCTCAGAGCCTGCACTTCTAAGCAACGCTCAAGTAAAAAAGCGCGTGTCGAGTTTGCTTCGGTCGGATGCTTTTTTCCTTGCGTGTCCTTGTAGGCTTGAAGCAGTGACCAAGATTCTAACGCTAGGGGTTTGTCTTTTCCCCTGTGTTTTAATCTTGGTTGAATCTTCGGCCGCGTGGCTGTTTCTGCTTCAAGCCCTTTAGTAAGGGACATGCCTTGAGGGTCTGACCCCTCTTTCGTTCTTTTTGAACCCACCCTCCCACCCTTTCACGGCCCAGGTGGAAACCAGCTTCCACAAGGCCTGATTGCTGGGTGGCTGCACACGCATGGTTGCCAGCTTTCCCACTTCCAACATTTTGTTGGCTTACTGCATCCCGCAGGACCCGTTTAGCCTGTGCAAAGAGGCCTGATAGCTAATTGCTGAACACGCGTTGTCGGCAAGCTTTCCAGCATCAAGCATGTTGTCGGCTTACTGATCCCGCAGGACCAGTTTAAGCCTATGCAGTGAGGACGCATTCCTCGTTGGCCACACCAGTTTGAACCCATGCTGTGCACGCAGTCGCACATCGCTGAGTGCCATCGGCATTCTGTCGGACCAGCCTGGTCCCCTTCAGGAGGACGCATTCCTCCCATGCACACCTATGCACGCATTGCATACCGATGTGCAACATACCTCCTATTTGTCTCACACCCCGTGGGTAAAACACCCTGTGTGATGGTCGAACACGCAATGTTGACCACAGGGGGCATTCCGACAGGCTCCGCATGAGATGCAGGAAGATGGAGTGGACGCGCATCGTCACTCCACCTGCATCTCAGAGCCTGCACTTCTAAGCAACGCTCAAGTAAAAAAGCGCGTGTCGAGTTTGCTTCGGTCGGATGTTTTTTTCCTTGCATGTCCTTGTAGGCTTGAAGCAGTGACCAAGATTCTAACCGAAAGTCTGAGCAGGAACTGTGCGCTTGGTCCTGTGGCGTAAAGGCGTTCTTTAACATTCTTAGACCGGAGTGTGGGCAATACTGGGGATTTAGTCGAAAACATGACGGACTTTGTGAGCGCAATACCACAGCGAGCCTGCACTCCAGCGGTAATTGCTTGCATGAGGCGTTCACAGCAGCTACCTCTCCCTTTCAGAATCCAGTTTAAATCCGTAAATCAAATTTTACTGCTCCTTTCATTCGTGGACCAGCCATGGAAAGCAAAACAGGCAGTACGCGCGCCACAAGCTGGACAGTGGAATGCTTGTCCATGCTCTGCGCACGCAAATGGACAGGTGGAACCAAAGTGCGGTGCCGTCAACATTTTAAGTTCTGGAGTGGGTTGAGTGTGAGAGTTGACAATTGTAAGCAACTCCAAAAAAGAGCCATTTTGTGAGTTGGCTTGGTTCAAGGCGTCCCCCATTGTTGGTCCGTCTCTTAGTTTCATCATCATTCCTGGTTGACGTCTCTTCTGCGCGTGTCGCAACTACTTCTGCTCCCACGACCACAGTTTTGCTCTGCACTATTTCATCACACAGAAACAACCAGCGCCATTGCTGGACAGCTGCTGACTTGCTGTACTTGAAGCCATCAACTTCGTTCTCCGCACTTTCCTGCCCAATTGGTTCACGGAAGAAAGTACATGGCGATGCTTCAAGAATCCACCTAGCGGAGATTCAATCGAGGTGCGTGGATGGAAAAAAGAGTTTGACTCTTTAACATGTTGAAAGATTAGACTTGTTTGGAAACGGCTACGGGCGAAGATTTAAAGAAGTAAAACACAGAGGAACAAAACTCTTAGCATTGGATTCTCAAATTTTCAATAATTAGGTGTGCGAGTCGGAGGGATTGTCGAAAAAGATCGTTGCTGTTGCTGCTGTGCAGCGGACTGCAAGAGAGTGGGTGAGAGCCGGAAGAGCGAGAGAGAGGGTGAGAACACCCTTTAGTGTTGGCATCGGCTCTATCATTGCCATTGCGACAAGTGCCCTTTGATTTTGTGGAAAGAGGTTCGGTGGGTGGAGAAAGTTGGAAGAAGGGAACGGGAGATGAAAAAGGTTGATGTATTGAAGAAATCGCAAGATCGGTGATAACATGCAGAACGAAGTGGAATCCGCACTGCGGCACTCCAACGACAATCACACGCTCAGCGCATCCTAAAATCACAGAATACGCTTTATTAAGCATTAACGCACGTCTTGCATTTGGCTCCCGCCTGGGCGGACACGTGTCGATCCATCTGCATCCCTGAGCCTCTAAGAAAACTTCTGACAAGAGCTGCGGTCCATTTCGTAGGTTGGCTCTGTTCCAGGTTTCAAGCAGTGAACAGAATTCTAACTGCAGTTCCACTGACAAACTCCCACTTTAGGGCTCTGAGCAACCTGTCTGCAACTGCGCCGCTTTAGTCGGCTGTGCAGCTTCTCTTTGCTCGGGCGCCACGGTGCATCTTGCAAGAGCTAACTGCCCGCGGTGACGTTTGTGGCTTTCGTAACCTCCGTTGCTCAGGACTTCGATGTTGCCGGTGACTGGTCCTTTAATATGTTTCTTGGCAGTGACGAACTCGGTGGAAGACACCAAGGTCAACGCTCGGGTGCGTCCGCTGCCGCACTTGCTTTCTCGCAAGCCGCAACGCCTTGCGCAAGTGGACGCGCTGCTGGGCGACTACCTCACGGGAACGGCGCAGGACTCGGAGACGACCGGCACCATTGCGGCGGCTTTTGCTGGCTCTTGGCGCAAGTGGACGCGCCGCGGGCTACCGAACGGCAAGCGCCCAGACACTCAGACGCAGGCGGCCCTTGCAGGCGGTTAGAAGGCTGTCCACCTGCGCAAGGGTGTAGTAGAGCAGGATGTTGACCGTCTCTATGTCTTGGTTGGTCGCCGACGCGATCTGGTTTGTTAAAAACGTCCTGGTCCGGCTCCGTTCGGTAGGCAGCGCGACTTGGAAGACTGCGTCGGCCTTGGAGATAGCGGTGGACGACGGCGCCGACAAGGTTGTAGCGGCCATTAACGTCTCCCTGGCAAATTGGTCGGTTCGTCTTAGCAGCAGCTGCAGCCACACCGTGCGGCCCTGAGCGTCGACGGCAACACTCCTGGCAGCAAACCCGGAACATTGTGCGCACCTACTCCAGAGCCCGGGTCGGAAGCTTCTCTTTGCCTGCATTGCCTTGGCACTGCCTAGGGATCGACAACGCGCGTCCGACCCATGTCGTTCGTCTGCATCCCACGCGGAGCCAACTACTTGTAAGAACAAAAGTAGCATGAACGCATCGCAGCTAAACTGCCAGCCTTCTTGTGCAGGCAATCTGTTCGCAAATATGGACATGTAAGGGCATGCGCGCGCAAGAGTGTTGCTTCAGGTGTTTTGCATGTTCGAGTATTCTCTTTCACTGGCGTACGTGTTTTGTGTTTGCGGCAATTTTGTTGCAAGAGGGATGTTCTGACGACAGTTCAACGGTGCTCGCGTGAGTTGCGCAGGGCTGCTGTGAATTCTGTGGGTGGCTTTCCTTTTGAAGCAGCGTACAACGGAGGACTCCACGTCTGGCCAGAAGCGCACCAAGGGCCAGCTGCTTGATGCCATTCTGGCGTGGTTTTCCAGAGAAAGTGTTTTTCGCAACGGTGTTCGTGTGAATGGCTTGGGCATTTCACAGCTGCGAATTCCCGAGCTGCAGTTGTACGGGGCGCTGACTTGGCCGAGTTCGATGGCGTTACGAGACTGAGCAGAAATCTCCGCATTTGGCCAGGCCAGCTGCTTGACCTTTGTTGAAGTTTTGTATGAGGGTTCTTACAGCTGTCGCGTAGGTGAGTGGCCTGGGCTTGAAGCCTTACATCAATCCTACCAATCCGGGCCCCTGAAGAAACAAAACGGTTTGGAATGCCAACGCCAATGCCTAACAGCGCCGCTTCCGCTGTCCCGGTTCCAACGTGGTGCCAAGAGTATTTGTGGCTCCGCTTTTGCTGCGCGCATCCGCGCTGAAGGCTCGACCAGAGGGTTCCAAAAGTCAGCCGGGCCGGTTGGGCTAGGGTTGTAAATGGCACTTCTCACCACAAGTAGGCGCCCTTCAAAGTATTTGGTTTGCACTTGGTTTCGTTTGCAAGTGCTCTCACAACACGGGGCTTTGACTCGCGTCACATGTGCATGAATGCCATCATGATTCATGACCTTAGAATGTTTCTGCATTACAACATCACGGAGTCACAACATCACAGAGTTACAACATCAGCATCACAAGGATCAATATCATCATATCATCACAACAACACCGCATTACAGCATCATAGCCTCACAACTGGAACACTAGAACTGCAGCGCAGAGAAGGCACGCACGTGCAGAACCACACGCCACAAACAGATCAACTAACGCCAGCAATCAACAACAGACAACCACACACCCATACACAGTGCAGACTAACACACCAAGAATGACAGACACACAGACACACACACACACACACACACATTCACAGATTCACGCACAAACAAATTCTGAAACAACGCATGTCAGTGACTCCTTTGGAGTCGGGTTCTAATGGCCACAACTTCGGATCTACAAAAAGGTGGCGTTTCTATTTGGGGCCCGTCCTTTTCTCTCAAATAGTTTGTGGGAAGGTCACGATGGGACTATCCAATGATGATTGTGTCTTTATGTCAGAAGCGTCCCATGATCGACGTCAACGGCCCTTTCAAACGGGTCCTTCAACTTGTTTTGGGACACCCCCCGGTCCAAAACTATCGAACAAACCGGCAGTTTCCCACAAAAAATCGGTGGACTCAGTTTTTCCCAGGTTTAGGGTGACCACCTATGTGGAAGGTGTCTCATATGACTCTTTGCGTTGCAGCCTCTGCGGCCCTCGTCCCGGAGGTCGCGATGTCGGAAGGGGGGCGGTGGCTTTGCAATGAGCAGTGCTTTGCTGGCGTGCCGCTCGGCCTTCGGATTGATGGCGGCAAGACTTCCTGCCCAGTTTAGGTGGCTCTGTCTGGGGTTTTTCAGTGCCTGCATGAGCCTGTTGTTTCCATGCTGGAACCAAACGAAAACCAATAGATTTGGGGGCTGCTCTGTAGGTTCAGGGCCCTAAGGCAAGCAGAGGAGAAAAAACGAGGCCCCCCTTCTCCACGCATCGGATTCATTTCGAGGCAACAGGACAACTCTGTTCGAATTTGTGTCAACATGCGGCACCCGGAATGGTGCATGTTTGGGAGCAAGCTGTGAGTGTTGAAAACTCAACTGCAGGGGGCGACCTGGGGGCGCTTCATCGACTACTTGTGGGTTCATCGTGGATTTTGCGGATGAGCTAATTATTCGCAGCTCATGGTTTTGGATTCATGGTACGGAGTTTGTTTTTCCAGGTTCATTGCGTTTCATGAACTAACTGGTGGGCAAGAACTCCCATTGGACTCGTTGCTGGATTTCCTTTCGGGTTTTGAGTCATCCACTTGAAGCATGGACTGATCATCCAGGCAGCCAGTGCTGCTTTGCTTTTCTTGTCGACGTTCTCTTTTCTGGGGCACGGATGCGGGGTCGTGGGGAGGGTCGGGCAAGGAAGGCAGTTGGACACTCGAAAGTTGTTTGGTGAAACCGTTGACACCAGGACTTGGCTGAGGGTTGGTTGCAAAGTTGGTTTAAACAACCAGGCTTCAGTCGTTCTTTAAGGGAAGCCAACGTAGGGTTGTTTGATGGTTCAAAGATATTTAGGAGGGTCGGCCCGACCCTGAAGGGTCGTCCCTTTTTACTCAGGCTCCCCATTGGTAGTTTGGATTGGGGGGTTTGAACCCTCGATCCTGGAGACTCAATTTGAAGACAACCCCTGTGGGTCTAAAAGGGCCACACCGCCAAGCGGCCAAGCGGCACGCAAAGCGCTGGGGTAGGTTGGCGACGACCTTGACGGCTTCGGCGCAGCTGCTGGCGAAAGTCCGGGAGACGGTGAAGAAGCACTCGATCCCCGAAGACCAGGTGAAGGGAGGATCCGGGCGAATGTGGGGGAAGCACTTCCTGTGGTTGAAAAGGGTATATTTCAAGGATGATCAAACCTCTCCGAGCGGGAATCCGGATCAGTGTGGGACACCTCAACATGGGGTTAATCCGGGGGTTCCCATTAGCGGGTTCCCGTTAGTTTGCCCGAGCATACCTTTTCACCTTGTGGTTTCCCGCTTTACTGCTAGATCTGCCATCAGGAACTCTGACACGAACCGGGTTTTCAAGGAGACTTGCGTTTTTCCATAGGGAGCAAGCCTCTTGGATTCGGGCATGCCTTTTTCTCGGGATCCTTTTTGTTTGCTTTCCAAAAGCAACAACGGGAAATCTTATTTGGAGCCAAGCCGTTTGCGCCTGCCATTGAGGAGTATGAAAGGTCTGTGGGATCTGGGCAAAGTGTGGCAAGCTCACCAATCCGGAGGTAAGATGAGCTGATGAAGTTTCTTTGCTTGGAGATTTCCAATTTCCAATTTTGTGAACCACATCAATTTTTCGGAAGAGATGGGTGCCACGACTTCTTGTTCTTTCGTCCCTTCAGATCGTGCTTTGGATGCGGTTCTTCTGGGTTGCTGAAAGTGTCGCATTTCGAGGGTCTCAAAATGGCTGTTGGGGGTGGTTTTCCTTTAAACCAATTTAGAAGACCAATTCGCGGATGTCAGTTCAACAGACCCGGTTCTTGTGCTATGCGTCTTCACCCTCTTGCCCTGTGAGACATTGAGACAGGTTTTCATGTTTGCCCTAGTCCAAATGCCCTCTTGCTCGGGTGTAGGGGCGCTTGCCGCCCTGTTGTTGTCTGAGGGAACGGACATGTCAAGGCCATGTTTGGCCTTGTTTGGCTTGATTAGCGGTAGTCCTTTGGGTGCTGGGTTGCTGAACATGGCCTCATTGCCTTTGTTTGATCTCCGGGTTTGTTGTCACGAGGTTTCGTTTCTTCTTTTGCTTGGTCCTGCAGTTTTTTAAGAGTCGCAAGAAGCCTTCCCCACACCGATCGTACGGAAGACGAGTCGACGGGGGCGTGTTGCTTACCAAAAGAGCAACCAAGAGTGACTGATGGACAAAGGTCTCGAGTGCATTTTCGAGGACGAGGAGGGTTATCAGTTGTCCCCCCGAAACTGTTGTCTAGGTCTGCCTTAAAATGGGGGGGCGGGGGGGGGGGGAAAAGTCCCTATTTTCGAGCACAAGGACATGAGGGCAGGTTTCGGGAGCGATTTGCTACGAGATTCCTCTATTTTGTGTGTGTGCTTGAGGGTTTTTGCTAAACCCTAAACCCACCACAAACCTGCCCAACCCCACCCTCAAACCCACCCCACGTCTTCTTTGCAGGCAGCGCGCGCCTGGCCTGCCAAGGACGGGTTTGGGTGAAGGCTCGGTACCCTTTTGAAGGTTGGTTTAAAGGGAAGCTGAAAGGATCACCGAAGACTTTTTTTAGGGGTCTTTTTTTGGAATGTTGACACATTCCCACTCCAAGTGGGTGTTTTGGGGCTGAGGACCCCCCTCTTTTCCCTCGGTTTGTTGTGGGTTGGGGTTTCCCAATCAAAAAAGGGGGGAGTTGTCAACCCAACTAGGCAAAGGGCACCGAATCATTTCGTTTTTTGAGTCCTTGATTGTTTGTGGGCTGCAAAAAGCCACAACCCGTGTTGAAACTAAAACGATCCTTTGATGCCAGGTTTTGATTATGAGATTATGAAATTATGACCCATGAAGGGGTACGCAAGATAGAATGCCAACCCCAGACAGATGGGGGCATTGTGTCAGACCCTTGATTCACGTTTTGTTTTTCTCAGCCCCTTCACTGACGGGTATGTCGCACATCCCGCCACCCCCTTTTCGGATGGCGTTTTCAGGGGGGCCCAAAGCAGTTGTGGACTTGTATACCAGGTTTCAACATCCAAACATGGAACACACCTTAGGGTCACTTTCGTCCACAACTCTCAGGTTTCTCAGGGAGGGAGGGTATGACTGACCCGGTGACCGGTGCCCTGAAAGTCGGGAGCAAAGGTGGCCAATTTTATTTGGTTGACAGGACATTCTGGAACTTACTCCACATGGAACCTCACGCACCCATAGAGGACACTCCTGTTGGGAATCGGACGCCAGTTCCTAGGGGAGTAACGGTCTGGACCCACTTCGGGTGTCCCGAAAGGAACAGCGATAGGACATCGACCCAAAACCGATAGGAGACCACCCCATACCAAACGACTTGAGTTTGCAAAATGGTTTACCCACCTTCCTATTTTTATGCAGGAACCGGGGGGGTTCATTTCCAAACCAATCTATCATGCAGGTATGCAGGTAATGTCAACCCCTTTATCAACCTGGTGGATTGTTGGGGTGACTTTCTCCAAAATGGCATACTGTCCTATCAATCGACCACATTCTTTTCAATCCTTTGATGTGGGTGAGAATAGGGGATGGTGTTTATTTACTCCCCTGCAAATGAACCGTGGAACCCAAAAAGCGGCTGCGAAAGCAGATTCTCCCACGGTTGGTTTCTCGGTTTCGTCAGGAGAGCATGGTTTGCTCCCTTTGATTCCCTTCAAATCCCAGGGTTTTATTGGGCAACTCCAAATTCTCTCACTACATTTTTTGTTTGTGTCTGTCTCACAAAATCGCCCAAACCAACCCATGGGGTGGTTTTGATCCCCCTGTTGCTTGGTTCCCCTGGGTCTCCTTGGGTTTCCTCCCCGGTTTCGTCTCCTCAAACCTCGCGAGGACCTCGATCTCCGGGGGGAAGCGCGATGCTCGGGGCCTCGCTGCGAGGGGCGGTGTGCCCTGAGGCGCCGTTTTTTTTTGGTTTGCGCTGATGGTAGAGGTGGCACGAGGAATTCGATTTCAAGAGAAACCCGTCCAGCTGATTCATGTTTTTTCCTTCTTGTTCGGGAATCCGCAAAATCCCAAAACTGGGTCAGTCAGACCCAGACAAGGTCATGGCTGGGCACCAGGCAAGTTTGCCACCAACTCGGTTTGGGCCATTTGGCAGCGGATCTTTGGACTTTAACCTTTTGGTTCACACAGAAAGGATGATTCTTCGATGGGACCCACTTTTTCGATCGGACCTACAACAAGTTACAAGCCTTTGCAGTTTGGTTTGAGTTTAAACCAACGCCAAAAAGCGTACCTCCAAAAAACTCTCCCCCCCCATTTGCGTTTCAGACTATTTGTGATGTTGCCCTATTTCTTCTAAGAAGAAACCTGGGTAAATGTGACGAACCACGGGATAGGCATCAAGCTATAGCTTATTAAGCATCCATAAGACATTTATTCAACACCAAACAACTTATTAAGCAAAGTGATTGCCATTCTCAAGGCAACTGCGAGGAAGGAAGGAAGGCCAAAAGCAGTCTAAACAAAGCATCCCCAGCCATGTCCAACAAGTTTGTTTTTGATATATACTTTTGCAGCACACTGGTGCCCAACCAGATATTTGTTGATGCTTAACAAATGTTGTCTTGTTTTGCAGAAATAGGTGTTTGTTGCTTAACATGTTTTTGGATGCCTCACCCAACGTGGCTGTATATATATATATGTATACTTCACCCGGCATATAGATGGCTCAAAAAAACCGGTATGTGCCATCTACTGTGGCTCCAATAAGGGTTTTACACTTCGCGCGTCGGGGCCAGATAATTGGGGGTCAAACGGGATGCAAAATAGATGGCACCTTTTGTTAGCCCCCTAAGATGCACAGGTTACCTAATTTATGGCACAGTTCAGTGCGCTCGCTCACTGGCTCGCTCACTCACTCACTCACTCACTCACTCACTCTCACTCTCACTCTCACTCTCACTCTCACTCTCACTCTCACTCTCACTCTCACTCTCACTCTCACTCTCACTCTCACTCTCACTCTCACTCTCACTCTCACTCTCACTCTCACTCACTCTCACTCTCTCTCACTCTCACTCACTCTCACTCTCACTCTCACTCTCACTCTCTCACTCTCTCACTCTCACTCACTCTCTCACTCTCTCACTCTCTCACTCTCTCACTCTCTCACTCTCTCACTCTCTCACTCTCTCACTCTCTCACTCTCTCACTCTCTCACTCTCTCACTCTCTCACTCTCTCACTCACTCACTCACTCACTCACTCACTGACTGACTCACTCGCCAAGGGCTGCCGCCCTCTGCTGCCGACCTCATATGTTGCGATGTGACTGAAGATTGTCAATGTCAGTTTGATGTCGAGCCAACGCCAGCTGATGTGACAGACAGGTAGGAAAAGGAGGGGGGGGGGGTAGGGCGGCCGGTTGAATCAACGTACTGTATTGTCTTTGACGAGACATGTGCCATCTTCCAATGTGGATACAGCGCGTGGCTGCAGCCAAGTTTTCTCATAAGCCACTTCAAATGTCCACGTTTCTTTAGGGCATGATGCTAAGCCCCGCCTGAAAGGATTGTGTTTTACTTTGAATCTCACTGTAAACTACTTCTCAGGCGAACATGTCTTGCCGCACTGCAGCCGCGGAGGGTTTGCGCAGGGGTTCATGCTGAGGAAACTGCTAGCCATCCTGCCCGAATTCCTTCACGGAAGCTGCCTCTGCATGCGCCGAAAACCCAGCACATCGGAACGAAGTGCATTTGTGTTCCTCCCCCAGGTAACAAAAGCTGACAGAATGCCAGAATGTTAAGGTAAGCATCCGTTGGACCATACTAATGAGAGGAACCCCATATTATAGACATTTCCTTACTAAAAGGGAACTACGCCTGATTGGCACGGTCCTTCGGAGAAGGGCTGTTCACCGTTTTCGTTGCTCAGAGACATGGCTTTGCGAGTTGCTTCCCCACTGTTTGCCAATTGTGCCATCTACTTGGATCACCATTTTGGGGATTACTTGATTTCCGGCTCTGGTCAGTTTTTGAGGGAGGGCAGGGCTCAGCGCAAATCGGCGCAAAGTGCATTGCTTCCCGAAGCAAAAAGACACTCACAGAATGCAACTTTGAGATCGGGGATTTACATTGTTCAGGCTCCTCCTTGTTTCTGTTTCCATTGGGTCAAGCAAATTCCGGCGATGCGCAATTAGGCAGGTTCAACGCGCAATTTGGTAGCCGCTGCCTTCCATCGGTGGGCCATCCAGCCCTGCTCACACTTATGGGGAGCAGTGTTTCTAGGGGCCTTTTGGGCCCTGCCTTCGTGTTTGATCTCAATGATGGTTTGTTCACTTTAATTTCCCGAGTGCTTAGGCCTTGCGCCCTTAACGCTTCGTAATCTCCACTGCCCAAACTCCAAGATTCGATCAGGATCAGAGCCCCGCGCAGGCTTGCGAAAAGCCGACCCTTGGCCTAAAAGGATTCATTTAAAGGACTCATCAACGAAATGGAATCGTGCCATCTATATGTTGCTGGGGGGGCAACATCCAAACTAGGACATTAAACCGGCAGTGAACTGTACGGCCTGCGCGGGCGTACCTGCCCGAGCCTTGCCTGTGCACAGTACAAGTTGAGTGTTAGCGAGTTCGCGAATAACTTTGACTTTTATGTATTATGAATATATGTACACACTGTGAATTCTTCCTTAGCCCCACTCCACTCCACTGTCCCCACTCCACTCTCCCAGTCTCCACTCTCCACTCTCCACTCTCCACTCTCCACGCTCCACGCCACGCCACTCCCCCCCCGGCACACGGACATGTTTGCTTAATAGATCCACTCTCCACTCTCCACGCCACGCCACTCCACTCCCACGCCCACTCCGATCCACTCACAGAAGAGTCAATGGGGTCGGCGGACATGTTTGCTGAGTAGATCCACTCCACTCTCCACGCCACACCGCTCCACTCCCACGCCCACTCCGATCCACTCACAGAAGAGCCAATGGGGTTGGCGGACATGTTTGCTTAATAGATCCACTCTCCAGTCTCCATGCCAAAATAGATGGCGCAATTTTTTTGACCCCCCGGTTTTTTGAGCTAATAGATGGCACAAGTCGCCGGATAATTGAAGAAATGTGCCAACAGAGCGGTGGACTTTTTTTTGCTCCCCTGCCATCTACCTGAAAATGTGCGTCGTAATTGTGCCATCTATTTACCGGGTGGTGTATATATATATATAAATATGTGCGTTTTGGAAGACTTGCTTTTTGGGCCCTTTTAGGCGCGTGCAGTTGGTCAACTACCCTCGGGGCTTGGACCTCTTTTCGTGGCATGGGCTTTGGGTCGCTGGTGTTTTGGTGTCTTGTTTGTGCCTCCCTCACAAAAACAAAGGCCACCATGTTGTGAACGCCAATTTCGGTGGTTTGACAGTTTGGCTGTCAATTTGAATGGAAATGTGGGGAACCTTGCTTTGGGCTGATCGCAATGTTGCATTTTGTTTCCAAGTTTCTTTCCATATTTTCCACCATCCACCATTTTGTCAACTATGTTGTCAAATTGGTCGAGCCCCAATTTTGCCCTGGGTAGCATGACCTTTGAGTTGTTGGTGGTGTAATGTTTCAAGGGGCAATACAGGGAGCCTTGGTTATAGACGTGTCCATATTTTTGTTAGCCATTTCGTCCGCCGTTTTGTGAAGCCTTTTGTCCACCCTCTGCGCTATACTGTTATTTTGCCAACCATTTGTCCATTTTGTCAATAAGGATCCCTGAAAGGTGGTTTGTTTTCCTTTGGATTCCTTTGGGTTTCCTCCCCCAAAATCAACCCACTCAACAGGGTTCAAGCGAAAAGGAGAAGCTTTGGGAGGACAGAAAGGTTTTTCAAGGATTCTCAAGGTTCCTCAGATTTCCTGAGGTTTCCCTAAGGTGTCCCAAGGTTTGACCAAAACGACACCTTTTTGGAGCAGGACGGAGGTCTCCTTTCGGTTTGATGAGTGGACGCTGGCTTGCTGCGCCGCGCCAGGCTGTGCAGCGACGTGCTGCTGATCAAACCGGGAGAGGACGGCCAGGAGTGGGAAATTCGGAGGGAGCGATTCGGTGGGAGTGGTTCAGGAGCTATCAGGAGTTGTGGTTAGGGACATGGTAGCCAGGGCGGTCCACATGCTTTGCATGAGCTTCTGGCAAACATTCGAACGTGTGTCACGGATGTGTTCTACCAAAACGAGAGACATACCTGTGTGCCATGGTCAAACGACAAATTCCTTTACTTCGGGCTAACGGATGGTCGTCCTCCTGGTAAGGATCCTTAAGAACCAAGAGACTGATTCCCATTGAGGGAACCATGACCATAGGCCACATATATAATAGATATAAAATGAGTTTTGACCATGGCGCACATGTAGGCCATCCTGTCAAGGGACCCATGACCCAATCGACCACGTAGTGGAAAATGGCAGACACGTGAGAGTGAAGGGTCCATGGCACTAATTTCATCTCCGGATCGAGAGGAGAAGCTGCAGCTGCTAGGGGCGGAAGTAGAGTGCCAAGCGCTCGGATTTGGACCGATCGGGGCGAGCGAGGGGGGTGGTCAAGTGGCTGTGGATGTCGAGTTGGTAACCCCAAAATGGGTTGTCCGAAACCAGGACTAACATTTGCGGTCCGATTCCTGTTGACTAATTTTGACCCATTCTGGTCAAGTGGCGCAAGGTTTCGGGAAATATCGTTGCACACGTTGCCTGAATTAAAGCACCTCTGGCCTAATCGCAGAAGGCTCTTTTTGCAGATTTGTCGTTTGGGTCGATCTGGGCAAACCTCCTCCTTTGCTTAATTATTCCGCGAGACGCATTGTGCGAGTTTTTGGTTAAAGGTTGGCGTGTCTCAAAATGAACGGGCCCTAATCTGGTTTGGTCACCCTTTGGTTTCCCTTTAAGCCGCTCCACAAAGGGTACCTTCGAATAAAGACACACCCTTGCCTTGCAGCTCATTTGGGCAAGACACTTTTTCAGGTGAGGAGTTCGGCTCAATGAGAACAGGAGCTTTACATTTTCCTAGGGACTTTCTGGTGGGTTTCAGGTTGGAGAGGGGCACATTGGTTCTAGCCACAAAATCCATCACCAGCCCCTCATCCGTGTGAAGCCGGGGTTTTGGCGCCGAGGTCAGGGTGCGGTGGTGACCCTAAGCAGGCGCAACGTCGCAGAGATTGGGCACGGAGAAGTCATGAAAGCAGCAAGACCAACAGGGAGTTTGAGCTAGGTCTTTGGAGCCTTTTTTTTTTCCACTGGAAGAGGACAGGTTTTGGACGGAAAGAGGGTAACCAAGCTAGCCTTTTCATTCTTTTTGGATGTCCCAAATATTTTCTTCGGGGGTTCAATACCCACCAGTTGTTTTCCTTCGCAGGGAGCTGCTGGAGGGGTTGTTAGAAGGAAACCGATCATTTGGTGAGGGCTGGCGCTGCCGATCATCAAGCACCCATTCGGTGGACCAGGACCCATGTCCTGTTAAGGGGGCCTTCTAGCACGTTCCATTTGTTTTTAGAGATTTTATATTGATATATTTTGTTTGTTTGCATCCATTTGTTCTACTTTTGCTATTGTTTGTTTTTGTAGGGGGGGGGGGGGCGGGGGAGGAGGGTAGGCGAAACAACAAAGGATATAGAAAGTGTGTCACCGTATGTCCACTCAAGCGAGATGCCGGGACAAATTGCTGGATGGGAAGGGCCGTTCTTCGAGCCCCACTTTTCCTCTGCCTTGCTGTGGCATGGACACACGAGTTTATTTTGCAGCCAAGCACTCCAAACAAACAATATCCTAAAAGAAGGTGGGCAACCTGGAAAAAGCCTGGCAGACCATTTGGGTGTGTCTTTCTTTGAGAGTACCCCTTGTTTTGTGGGTTTTAAAAAAAGAACCAGCCTTGTTGTGTGGCTTTGCAGGGAAACACCCCCCCCCCCCATTTTACCTCCCCAAGTGGAAGGTGAACGGGGAACAACAAACACATGAGTGTCTGACTTCGATCCCCCCCACAAACCGCCGAAGAAAAACAACACAACAACGACCCCCCGGCCGGAAAAAAAAGAAAAAACACGACCCCTAGAAAGACGCTTCCGCCCGTTTAGCCACCCACTTCGCTGCTTTCTTTGGCCTTTGTTTTTCCCGCGGGAAACATCGAGGCCGTCGGGCACCATGATCACCATGGTCTTCGACAGCGAGAAGCTCGCAGGACCGGGGCGGGTTTGGTTTGGAGCAGTTGGGAGAATGAGAGAGCTATGTGGGAGGTGTCCGTTTTGTGGATTTTGGGGTTGTTTGAAAGTTGCCTAAACCTTCCTAAACTCCAAGCCAACCTAAAATTCATCGTACACCCACCCTGAAGAAACCCAATCCCTGCTCAACCCCGCCCGAAGCTCAGCCTAAAGCTTTGGAGCTGCTGTTAAACTGGATGCTGGGGCCGGCAGCCAGACATCGTAGCCGCTCTCGTTTCTTTCATTTTCCTTCGAAGATAGGTCTATGGTTTCAAACAGATATACATATATATATATATATGTATATGTACATTACGTGCACTTAGATATACACCGTCCTTTTTCAGTTCCAAGGAGCTCAACAATTCTTTCCTTCCCCATTCTCCTTCCCCGCGAGGGCAGTGGGCCACCAAGCTGGCGGTGGCCTGTGGGCACTCGGACTCCATCGCGAAGCTCTTCAGCACCCAGCGCCGCCGCATCGCCACGCTGGAGCAGCGCACCAAAGAGGCGCCTGGTTCGACGGGGAAGTCGGGCTGTCGGGAGTGTGGGGGGTCCGGGGGGGGGGGAGGAGGCCAGGGGAGACGTTGAAGAAAGGGGACAAAGGGGAGAGGTCAGTGGTGAGCGAGCCAGGTTCTGTATAAGCCATGGAACGGAGACTTAGGACCATAAGTGGGTTGTCTCACCGTGGTTGTTACCCACCCGCGAAGTACCCTGCCCCTTTAAGATGGGCTTCTGTCCAAAATCACCTAGGGTGGTAGGTAGGTTGGGGGGGCCATCAAAGACACAACCAAATAGGGGCTTCTTGTTTCCTGAAACTGCCTTTAAAAGGGAAACTAACGCATGATGTTGGGGCACTATGACATTTTTAAGCGTAGTCTGAGGGTCCAGGTTCCTTGTTTGGAGGGTTTGTGGCCCAAGACACGCTTCCGCGCAGGGGTGGGGTTGGGACAACGACTTAAATTCCCAACCAACAGCATGATATGCGGTTTTCTCGCGCACAATAGATTTCTATCGTCCCTTGCGGTTTAAATCATTTTCTTGGGTCATCCATGCCAAGCTCCCTTGTCAGGGGGGGCGACCCTCCGTAGTCGCAAGAAACAAACCCGGCCTGCCGGTAGCTTAGTCTAGCGGTTTTGCCAGGAGAGTTTCAAGGGATGTTTTTATGATACGCTGGGGTGAAAGCAGATGGCACGTTTTCCTGCTCCCCTTGTCTTGCCCTCCGATTTTGCAACCCAGGCCCAGATGAGTAACGAGGAGGCGCGATGGGATCCGATGAGATCTGATGTGCGATAGAGGGTGGAATTCGGATCTGGGAGTTTCCATGAGTTTGGCAGGTTCGGGTTTGAGGGATTCACCCACTGTTTCTTTTCCAGGTTTCGTTTGTGGGCTGAGCTACTGTCTCGGATTTCAGGTCAACCGAAAACGCCTCCGACTTCCGATGTCCACCAGTTTGCGCACCGTAGAACTCATACCCAAGTGACAAAGACTCGAGCTTGGAGCTTTGCTGTTCGCAGAACAGGGAAAAGTGGCTTCAAAATGGGTCGTCCGTTGGTCGCACCTTTTTGAGTTGTGGTACTGACGGGGGTGGGCTGGAACCTTGAAAGGTTCTGCCATGCTCCTTTCGAAGGAGCTTCAAAGCGGCCAACTTCCTAAAGCGTCGGCACATTTTATTTTACTCTCTCCCCACTGGCGTAGATGCTGACTGAGGTACGGTGCGCCAGTTTAAACCAGTTCCCTAAAGTCTTTGCGTGGAAGTTGGCGTGTGTCATTTACATCACCTGACGTTTGCATGTCTATTTGCCGCCTGGCAACTGGCCCGGACAACGTCTGGTAACCACCTGATCTTGGTCGTCACCCTCGCGCAACCAACAAGAACTCTCTTTGATAAGAGCACCAAGACCTGAGCCAGCCATGTTGGGGCCACGAGGCCTTTGAGGTACGTCTCAGAGGAAATCTTCTGAAATTTGGGGTCTGCTCCAAAGTTGTTGTATATTTTAGGGTCGACTAAACGTGACATAGACTCTGAGCTTTTTTTTGTGTACACCGGATGTGGGCCAATATCTCTAGAAGGAATTCAGCCCTGATTTCATAATATGGTCGCCTGTTCGATGAATCCAAAGTTGACACCTCCTTGGGCTTATTCCTCGAAGACTTTGCCCATTGGGGGCCAACGTCCCTAGTAGGGAGCCGGACGTGTCTGTGGTCCCCACTCAAAATCCCGGTACCACAACGAACCCGACGACACACATGTTTCAAGGCGCCTGAAACACGGTGCCTGAAGTCCGGGCCGGCTTGAGGGCCTTTGTTGGGCCCTTTGTGGCTTTGAACATCTTCAGGTCGAGCGGTGCCTGAACTTTTTGTCCCGTGAGTACGTGGAGATGCGGTATCAGGCAGGGTTGGGTGACAGAAAAAATCCATCGGAACACCGCGGCTTTTCCACCGCCCCCAGCCCCCAGTGTTGCCCCAAGCCTTGAAATTCAGCGGTTTGAAAGACCCATCCTTTCACCAGGGGGCGATGCAATCCCTGTCTAGCCAATTAGGGGCATCAGGGCCACTACCTGGCTTGCCAGTCTCGATCGCTTTGATCTTCCATGCAATCCTTTGTTTCAGCATGTCAACCACAATTTCTTTGACCGAGCCACCGTTTTCCGTTTTGAGGTTTAGGGGGGGGGGGTGGGTGCGCCTGGGGGGAGGATCTGGTTCAGGTGCGGAAGGGCCCGACCGCGGCCCAGTCCGCGCAGTCCAATCAGCCCGAAAATGCTGCGCCGGTGTCCAGCGTCAAGGAGGAGGATGCCTCTTGCCAAAGCCATGTGGGCTTCCGCGATTTTTGTGTTTTGTGGGATGCCTTTTCTGTTGTGCTTGTTTCTTCATTTTTGTTGAAAGGGACACCAAAAGGACCCCCCCCCCATTTTTTTTTTGGTTTTCAAAAGGGACACCAAAAGGAACACCACCATTTTGGCACCTTTGCTGGCTGCGGGGCTGTCCCTTACTTGCACAGGTTGTGATGGCTCAAAAAGTCGCGGGAGACGGGAGCAAACCCACAGCCACAGCCGGTTCGGGCAAGGGAGGGTTGTGTTTCCGGCAAGCGTCCTTCAGTCTTCGTGCCGCATTTGTGGCATTTGGAGTTCGGGAAGCAATTGCGGTGGTTCATCCCATTCATAGCGTTTCATTCATCCCAGCTGGTGCAGGATTTCGTCCATCCGCAGTAAGGATGTACCTAGGGCTCAAAAATTGATAGTTTCTGTTCATCGCTGGCCAGGAACGCAGGATCATCTGACAAACAAAACGGACGACCGGATCGTTCCAGTCAACTGCAACTGTGGACATGCCATGTTGTTGTTGTGCTCCGCCGGGAGCCAGGAAACCCAGGGCAGAGTTCAATTGCAGCAGTAATGTTGACCCCAGATGAATAGCCTCTCTTAACATGAGGGTGTTCCCATCCCAAAGTGACAATCCCCCCCATTTTTAATAACAGGGGTTTATTCAGTTTATTCATCCAGGGTGAACATTATTCCTTGAGCACACACACACACACACACACGCAATAGATCTTACATGTTTCACAGAGCCCTGCCGTGCAAAAAGCAGGACAAATATTTGCCAGGTTCCAGCGCCCTAAATTTGCAGCATGGGGTAGGACCGGACATGTGTGCCTTCCCCACAAGGCAATTTTGCAGCATGTCTCCTGGCTCTCCAACTATTTTTGTTTGACCTTGGGGAGTGGCAAATTCCCTGGACTCATCGAAAGTGGGGACCGTGTCCCACGTGCTCAGCCGAGAAGCTCAGCCCGACGACCGGTCCTAGGTGCCTTCTCTCAGCTTACAACGGAAAGTGGTCGGTTTTTGCTGGCTTTCTGGGTATCCAGCCTAACAGCTACCAACAAGAACCTTAGACCCTTACACCGGGCCAACCAGAGGTTTCCGTTGGGTCAATCAAATGGGCTCAGAATTTTGAAAGAGGACTCTGCTTTTGAAGCCCCAAAACGTCCACTTTGTTTGCTGGAAAGAGGGCGAAATCCATTCCACACGTTTAGACTCACATGAACAAGGACAATTCCACTCGTGGGGTTGCCCCATCCCCTGTTTTGAGACCAACCCACACAGAGCTTCTCAAAATTTTCGGCTTCTCACATCCCCTATTTTGTCTCAACCCCTTAAACCATTTTGCTTCTGCTCTGAAGCTATGGCTTGAGCCTCGCTTCAGGAGGAGCCGATGCTGGTGGAGGACGTGGAGGCCGTTTTGCCGGAGCCCGAGAAGGAGCCGCTGCTCTCCGCGCGGGAAAGCGCCAAGGAGGGGAGGGGGGAGGGAAGGGGAGGAGGGGGGTGGGAGGGAGTGAAGGAACCTTGAGGCCTGATGTCTACTTCGTTTCCCTGAGTCAACTCACTTCTCTTTGTTCACCCTGCCCTGATAATTTTCTCTCTCACCGGATCTGTTGCCTCCCCCTCTTTGTCGCCTGCATTAGTTGCCGGTTGTTTTCTCCTCAGAGAACAGGGACCGAGAGCTGGCCACCAGGGCTCTTGAAACAGGGAGGGTGTGGAGGAAGCAGATTCAGCGAGTGGTTGAAACTTTAAACATGCTTCACCAATCCAATTGGGATACTTGTTTTACCGGAACAGGAATTAGTTGTAGCAAGCTCAGCTGGGGTAACGCGATCTCCTGTAATGGCCTGTGACCTGCTCTTGAGGAAACATTCTTTGGTTTGGCTTTGTGTGCTTTGTTGAAGCACTATTCTTTTGGTTTGATCTTCAAGGGCGGCCAAAAGGAAGCCGTTTCCATCTTGAAGACTTGCAGAGTTGGCTATAATTGGAGTTCCGGCAGTCTCAAAGGAACCGGCATTCCATGCTGGGAAAGATTTTGAGACAAGCATCACTGTCACCTTTGCTCCAAAAGAAATGGGGTCATAGGTTTCTCAAACCTATTCGGGCATCAACTAAGGTTATTTGCCTTTAACTTGCCACGTGACGAACTTTGATGACGATAAAGTAATGAGGCCAGAAAAAGGAGGCACGCAAAGCTGGAGCGGCGCACACTTCCGTGTCGCAACAGGAGAGAAAGTGAAGAGGTACGAATATGCCCACAGCAATGTGAGCAAGTGCCAAAATTATTGGGAGTCTATTGTGGATTTGGGGAGAACATGGAAGTTCCCACAACCAGGGCGACAACCTGACTTGCACATGTTCTCTTGGGAAACAGTCATATTGTCCGTGGGTCACTTGAAGGGAAACCAACAGAAACCACTGTTTGCAGTGAGTGTCCTGCTTGAGGACATGTGAAATGGTCGCGATTGAGGTTTGGCCGCGAATTTCTGCGAAGATTTTCGGGGAATCAAAGCGACACGATAGTCGGGAATTGGTAGCCTATCTGTCTCAAAATGGGGAGCCCGTCTGAAAGGGAGCCCAAACAGGTCGTTCAATGTCATCCAACCCCTAACCAAGTCCCGGTCCGGATATCAGGATCGTACTCGTGCGCGTGCTTCGCATGCTGTAGGTGCTTTCAGGTGCTTCACGTGCTTCACTCTTTGTGATTTAGATGGTCTGGATAAGCCAAACTCGGCTAGTGACCCTTGCAAAGGTCTCTTGTGATCCCATCCTCCCCGTTTTCATGGTGTTTGAACGGGAAGCCCACAGAGCCACTGTTTGCAGTGAATGTCCTTGGGGAATCAACTCCCCGACACGGGGAGTTCAGGAGAGGTCGGGTGGGGCAAGCGCGCCTCACGCGCGCCTCTGATGGCTTTAGGAGGACCGGAGGAGCCCTTCCTCCGTGAGTGGGCGGCCAAAAGTGGTGTCCCCGCGGGTGGACCTCCAGGCGCTTGAATTTTGGGGTGGGGGGCAACTCGTTGCTGGGGGGAAAATGGAGTTTTGGGGTGGGTGGGCTTTTGTTGCTGGGGGTGGGGGCCTTAATTTTGGGGGTGCGCAGGGGGGGGGGCCTTGGAATTTTGGTTGGGGCCTCCGAAGCCTCGTGAGGGTCCTTCACCTGGCGCAAGGCTTTTGTTATTGGTAGGACTAAGGTCATCGGCCCTGGCGGAGTCCAGACCATTGTAATGGTTCCTTATTCACGCCATGACCTGCACCGGAGCTTTGGACCATGGCTATGGGAACACCAAAATGGGAAGCCGAAGAAGGGGATCAACACGGACAGCTTAGGGAGAGGCCAAACCTTTGGCCGGCGCCAAGCTTGCGAGAAGCGGTGAGCCCGGGCTTTTTGGACCTTTTGGGGCTTCCCTCGTGTTTGGCCCCCGAAAGGTGATCACCTCTTATCTTGGTGGTTGGGACACATTTTTCATTTTTGCTTCTTGGGGTTTAGTGGAAGATCCTCACTTAACTGCTAAAAATTTATTTTTTTGCTCCCCGTCCAGCGTCAACCATGTTATTCCTGGGTCCAAACTGGGCAGAGCGGACTTGCCGGTTCCTTGAAGGGGAGCCTGGAAAAACAAAACAGATGGATGAGTTTCACTGGTTTAGATGGGTTTCGTTCCATTTACCAGGGGAACCCATCCATTTTCCCAAAGGCCACCTATGCACTTAAGCGTATGTCTTGAAGTACTCAACTTTTCGGGTACAGAAATGACCTGTGGGTCAAAAAATTGGTACCCGAACTGGAAGCCTCGTAAATGGAGCCAAAAAATACCACCTGCGGTCCATATCCTGGTAGTTTCATTTTGGCCCATGGCCACCCGTGCGGAATCCCTCGCCGCGCACGCTTGAAGCGCCGACCGAGGATCGCACCCCGGTGCTCGAGGGCCTGGACCGGCGCGGGCACAAGCTCGCCATGGCCGGCCAGCGCCGAGCGCCCGGCGCCGGAGGCGCGCTGGATGCGAGGGATGCGGAAGCCAACAGGGAAACGAGAGAGGGAAGGTGGTGGTAGCATTTTTTTTTTGGTTTGAAGCATTTATTTTTGAGCTGAAGCATCAGGAATCGATCAGGGATCACATAGAGGGAAGTGCCTTGATGCGGGGGCCCACATTCAAAGGTGAAAGTACCATATCACAGGGTTCCCCATACCAACCAACCAACCAACCAACCAACCAACCAACCAACCAACCAACCAACCAACCAAACATGAACCCAAACATACCTGGCCATGAGTCTGGGAAACCGGCATGCACGAGAAAACATAGACCATGCATCCTCTCCCTGTGATTCTGCTTGCGTAGCCATTACTTGAAGTCAAACATAGATCCTCCAACAAAGCAGCTATGCCAGCCGAGTAAGAATAGAGGGCTTCCTCCCCTCGAAATTGGCAGAGAGGGTGACCCCGAATTCAGTCTATGGATGGACAATGTCCGTTTGCAGCACTTTGCAACCATGGTTGAAACCATTGTTGGTTGGTGTTTGCGTTGTTCAATCAAAACATTCCAGGGTTTCTGAGCAGTGGCACAAAATGGTTTTCGCAACCATCCACAGCATGAAAAAGACTCCGAGCATGTAGTTGTCTATGCACCAATTGGTTGGTTGGTTGGTTGGTTGGTTGGTTGGTTGGTTGGTTGGTTGGTTGGTTGGTTGGTTGGTTGGTTGGTTGGTTGGTTGGTTGGTTGGTTGGTTGGTTGGTTGGTTGGTTGGTTGGTTGGTTGGTTGGTTGGTTGGCCGGTTGGCCGGTTGGCTGTTTGGCTGGCTGGTGGGCTGATTGACTGGCTGGTTGGCTGGTTGGTTGTCTGGTTGGTTGCGTGGCTGGCTGGCTGGCTGGCTGGCTGGCTGGCTGGCTGGCTGGCTGGCTGGCTGGCTGGCTGGCTGGTGGGCTGGCTGGCTGGCTGGGAGGTTGGGTGGCTGGTGGGCTGGCTGGCTGGCTGGGAGGTTGGGTGGCTACATATGAAATGGAATCCGAAAGTCCCATGTTCGTTGCACCCGAAGTTTTGGGGCGGCAAAACCTCCCAGGCGCTGACAAGAGCGCCGCCCGGCGGCGCGCGGAGCGCCCGGAGCGGGGTTAGCGGCGGCTCGGCAGCACATGCTTCAGAGGTTGTTGGGGTGTTGGGAAACGGATTTTTCCGGGGGGGGGGGGGGGGGGGGAAAGGGGGGGAGGGTTGGGGAAGGGGGGGAGGGTTGGGGAAGGGGTTTGGGGAAAAGGGGGGGTTTGGGGAAAGGGGGAGGGGGTTGGGGAAAACCACTACACAGATTTGATATTTCAACCAGATGGGAGAAGTCACTCATGGTCAAAGCTGGGGGCCGAAAGGAATATTTATTCATGTGGCAAAAACAGGGGACCCACAGAATGGGTTTTGCTTTTGGCTTCCCTGAAAAAAACGGAAGGTGTTTCAGCTGCCACTTTCCGTGATGCAAAGCAAGGTCCCCTAAAAGTGACAAAGTCGTCATCGCAATGGACCATTGCGCATCACAGAACGGCATATTTTCCACAACCATGTGGCGGGGAGAGGGGGGGATAGATGGGATGGGTTTGAGCACATTCAACAGCAACTCATCCGACTCGGGATAAAAACCGCCTCTTTTGGCCCATGAAGGCGTCTCATGGTAAGTTTTTGCCTCTGGCAGTCCAAAGAAGCATCCCCCAGGAAAGCGGAGCTTCCCCTCATACAGCCGGACTTGCTAGCTTAGGTCTGCGCGGATTGGGATTTTGGGGGGTTGGGGGGGGGGGGGGGGAAGATTTTGGGGGGTTGGGGGGGGGACATTGAGCGGAGAGAAAGTTTGGGGAATTGCGTGGAGAAGGAAATCAGCTTTTTTGCAAAGCTGCATCTTGTGGACGTCTGAGAGATTTTTTCCCTTTTGGCGGCCCGACCGCGTCACTGGTCCGACAGACCGCAACGACCTAAGCCTTGGGTCAGAGGCCAGGCCAACATTTTCAGCCACCTTCAATTGGTGTCATAGTCAATGTTTTCGCACTTCGGTGTGGGATCGAGGGGTTTACCGCACTTCTGTGATACAAGGGAATCTTCCCCTGTGTGTGGGGAGTTAGTCTTGGGCAGCCCTTTCTGTTGTATGACAGAAGTGGTCATTTCCCACAGCCTTGCTTTCGCATGCCAAAAGTTTGCCTTGCTGGAACACTCCCAACCATCGAACTGGTGGTTTACATCCCCTTCTGGTTCATTTCCTTCAGCCCTCCAACCATAGGTGTCCTTTTTAGGTTAGACATAGATGGGGGTTCCACCGGTTTTGAGTGGTTTCATGCTCCCATTCGGGGAAACCCATCAAGGCAGAGATCCTTCGGTGCGGCACCTCATGACTGAAGAGGTTCTCTTTCCAACGGGCGCCCACAAAGTGGCTGGGAAGACCTGGTTTGCCGATGTGTTTCGGATGCACACGCTTTCACTGAACCTTGTGATGATGCAGCAACCTCTTGCCTCCAGTCGCCCACTGTCCGCGATACCTTTCAGAGAAAGGGCGGGGATGCATTCGAGTTAACTTTGCAAATCACACAAAGGGGAAACCGCTTTCCAAAAGTGCGAGGCAGACAACCGTGGGTGGGCCCCGATATTTTGCTTCAGGAAGGCTTGTGGAGGTGTTCCAGAGACGGCCAAATTGCACCGATATGAGGCAGGGTTCCCCATATGTATCTCACGGCCAAACTCCTATATAATATCTTCCTTGAAGGGTGGTGAAAAGTTACATGCATCGTCTTTGGTTGCCAGTCTAGAACGATTGGGTGATGTTTACAGGTTGGCAATATCAGGAACTCCGTGATATGTCATGCCGCCTATTTCAGCATGGTATAAGAAAGACTGGGGGGCCAAATCAATGTACCTTCCTCTATGTTGATCTCTGATTTCTGAATCCCATCCTGGTTCTGAATCAGGGTTCCTTTGGTTGGACAAGGGAGCCCCCTTTTTCTTTACGGCTTCCACCAGAAAAACGCGCGCGAGCGCTGTGCCAGGTGTGATTTTGGTGTCCGTCTGCGGTTTGTGATCCTCAGCCATGGAGCCCGGGCGCTTCCTTGTTCTTGGCATGCATTGGGCGTTTCCTTTGTTTGAGGGTATCCCTTTGGTAGGTTTCAACAGCAGATCAAACAGAACACCACTCATTTTGGGGGACCTCCACAAAAGACACACCCAATAGGGTTCAATTCCACAATTCGGTTTAACGAGGATTGCCGGTAGTCGCCGCCGATTTCCTCTCAGTTGTGTTTGCTTTCTTTGGACGGAAGGTCGGGCTCCATGGGAAGGAGTTTTGGCGACCCACTTCTTTCACCCCCGTTCGCGATTAAGTCTGTGTTCGACCCCAACAGCGTTCGGGCCGGAACAGGTTCATAGGGATTTCTGCGCAGAGTGACTCGCGCCCTTTTGGCCGAGCGACGCTTGCGCGCCGTGGTCAACACTGCTTGGTGCGCGTTCTGAGCGCAGTCACAGCCAATGATTTCGCAGAAACCAGTGCAACATCACAGAAATCGGTGCTTCGAATCCTTTTTGGTCTCTGTTTGTCGCTTATTTTTCTTACTTGAGTTTTCGTCCGATCGGATCACAGCCCTTCGCCTTGTGTTTTTAGGTTTGGGAGTGGTTGGGTCATTATTTCATCCACAAGTTAAACACTCTTAGCCAGGGATCTGAAAACGGACAGCCCAGGCTCATTTGCTTGTCGCAGCTGTTTCGCGCGAAGCGTGTTGCCCGCGGCCTAAAAAAGAAAAACTCTAGGGGTACCTTCCCCATTCTTTCCAGGACTCCTTCTTTCTAGAAAAAAGCACCCAGACACCCAGCGAAAACGGATCTGGGTCTTGAAAAGAACGATGGTTCAAAGGAATGGAGAAGGAATCATCCCTACCAGGATGATCATCCCCAAGTAAAGGAATCCATCTTTTGATCTAGAAGAAAATCACCCCCTAGAATGGTTGCCTTTTTGGCGTCCCTCTAAGCAAGCCGACCAAAAGAGGGCTCCAACCCAAAACAAAAAGCACGTGGCCCCGCTCCCACCAAAGAATGGGGAACCAACCCCTACGGTCGACTTGAGCCAGTGCCCTGGGGCTCAAAGCCGTCAGGGCTCCTTGGCTTGGGCTGTCTGGGCCGGGAAGGCTTGGCCAGGTTCACGCGAAGGAGGCTTCAGACTGAAGCCAAGTATCCGTTTTTTGGAGTTGAATGACCTGTAGCACCATTGGTTTTTAGAGGAATGTTTTTTGGAGGAATGACTTTTAGCATCCTTGTTTTTTAGAGGAATGACCTTTAGCATCCTTGGTATTTAGTTGAATGCCCTGTAGCATCATTGGTTTTTAGAGGAATGTTTTTTGGAGGAACTTTTAGCATCCTTGGTTTTTGGAGGAATGACCTTTGACATCCTGGGTTTTTTGGAGGAATGACCTGTGGCATCATTGGTGTTTAGAGGAATGACCTTTAGCATCCTTGGTTTTTGGAGGAATGACCTGTAGCATCATTGGTTTTTAGAGGAATGTTTTTTGGAGGAATGACTTTTAGCATCCTTGTTTTTTAGAGGAATGACCTTTAGCATCCTTGGTTTTTGGAGGAATGACCTTTGACATCCTTGGTTTTTTGGAGGAATGACCTGTAGCATCATTGGTTTTTAGAGGAATGACCTTTAGCATCCTTGGTATTTAGTTGAATGCCCTGTAGCATCATTGGTTTTTAGAGGAATGTTTTTTGGAGGAACTTTTAGCATCCTTGGTTTTTGGAGGAATGACCTTTGACATCCTGGGTTTTTTGGAGGAATGACCTGTAGCATCATTGGTTTTTAGAGGAATGACCTTTAGCATCCTTGGTTTTTGGAGGAATGACCTGTAGCATCATTGGTTTTTTTCGAGGAATGACCTTTAGTTTTTAGAGGAATGACCTTTACCTTTAGCATCATTGGTTTTTAGAGGAATCACCTTTAGCATCCTTGGCTTTTTTGGAGGAATGACCTTGCCATCCTTGGTTTTTGGATGAATGACCTGTAGCATCATTGGTTTTTAGAGGAATGACCTTTAGCATCCTTGGTTTTTGGAGGAATGACCTTTAACATCATCGGTTTTTAGAGGAATGATCTTTAACAACATTAGTTTTTAGAGGAATGACCTTTAACATCATCGGTTTTTGGAGGAATGACCTTGAACATCATCGGTTTTCTGAGGAATGACCTTTAACGTAATGGTTTTTTAGAAGGAATGACCTTCAACATCATTGGCTTTTAGAGGATTATTTTTTAACATCATTTGCTTTTAGAGGAATGAGCTTTAACATCATCGGTTGTAGAGGAACGACCTTTAACATAACCGGTTTTTAGAGGAATAATCGTTAACATCATTGGTTTTTAGAGGAATGCCCTTCAACTTCATTTGTTTTAGAGGAACGACCTTCAACAGCATTGAGTTTTAGAGGAATGGTCTTTAACATCATTGGTTTTGACAGTAATGACCTCGGAAACCTCGCTTTCGGGTTCCTTCCGTTTTGAGGGGAGAAATGTCCATTGAGGGAGCAAGACCGTCCAGTCCGGCTAAATAGTCCTTTTGCAAATTGGGGACGATGGAAGGGCGACCATGACAGGCTCACTCCCTGAGTTCATGGACTTGACACTTTTTGGGAAGGCAAACAACAACTGTGTTTTTTTCTCGTTGGCACTCCACTCAATCAGAAGTGAGAAGGGAGGGAACCTTTCGACCTCTTTGCGACTTTGACCCGTGGGTTCCTCTCTTGTCGTTTTTGGTTTCAGCTTGGCGAAGTCTCGAGGATTCTCAGCTGTTTGGGTCTCATCTCCGTTCCATTGGTTCAAACTTCAGTATGTCCCTCTGTTGCAACATGTGGCCCCAGGAACAGGTTTTCATTCTGTCAGGTTTTCGATGTGGATGGCAGAGGTTGGGATTTTCACCCCGATCCAGCTTCGCCGCGTGGACAGCCAGACCCCCGTCCCAGTTACATATATAGAGCGGGGACAAGAGCGCCCCACGCGACAATGCAACACTACAAGAGCTGAGGTGGCAAGCAGAAGAACTTGCAAGGTGAGTGTACAGACGCAACCAATCACTTGGATGGTTTGAACATCCTGGAGAAAGTCGAATTGAAACGCACCAGTTTGACTTATCAACCAGTACTTTTACGGTTTCATCCATGCCATGGATTTTGTCCACACCTTGGTAAGGGCTCGATTCTGTCTCGAACTATGGATCCGTGAAAACTCTTCGCTGAGCCCATAGAAGCCGGCCCCGATGCTTTTAGCATGCGGCATTTGTGTTTCTCTCCGAGTCTGTGTTTTTTTTTCGGCAAATCCGAGGGGAAACGAGAGAATGAATCGCGCGATTCAACCCGGCCCCGAAGTGTTCCTTGGAGACTTACGGCTCTCGCGGTGAGAACCTTCTTTTGTCAGCTCAGCCAGTTCAGGAATTCGTGCTCTTTCGAGCGCTGCATGGATCTGCACGCGAACCCTTGCTGGAGAACTGATACATGCCCGAAAGGCCCGTCAGTTCAGGTGACAAGTTCCAGAGGGCAACCGCCTCCGATACCAAAATGTCTGGACTGATTGAAAAGGATGCTGGCGCTGGCGTTCCAGTGGTCCAAGGGGGAGGTCACAGGGGTAGAAGCCCCTTGTGTTCTTTGGGAGTTGCACGAGACTGAAGGAATCTCTTTTGTTTTTGCAAGCATAGTGCCAACGTGAGGCTGCCCGACCAAAAGCACAGACCCTGCTTTGGTGTAGGTCGAGCCGGCGCTGGAACCACCCAAAATCTGCCCTAGTTTTGTTGATTGAAGTCTCGGGGCCCTTGTGAGGGGCATATGCCTTTTGAGGCTCGGAAACAGGAGCACCAGGAAGCTCACCGAGTTGGAGGGTGCCCTATTTTGAGACAACACACGCGGCCGCTTGCACACTGGGAGAAGAGACAATTGCTACATTTCTCTGGACGTGGAATCGCATGGAATGTGTACGCGCATACACATGCACAGGTTGTCCCAGTCTTACTTTCCGGGAATAGGTGGATCCTAGCAGACGCTGGTCATGGAATACGCAGGGTGGCTGGTACATCGAGACTCGATGTTGGGCCTGCCCCTTGTTTAAACAACTATTGTTGAATCGACCTCCTTTTGGATCCCCCACAGTTCCTCCTCCATCACCCCTCCAAACGGAATCTCACAATGGCACCAACAGGCGGTGCCTTTCAAACCACCTTCAGTGCCACCCTGGATTAATATGGAACCTGCAGAACCAATCGTTTGTACAGGATCGTTTTGGATCTCTGGTGAACTCAGCATTTCCCCCTGGTTTGCAAGGAATCAGATAGATTCCCTTCACCAGGGTAGAATTGACTTAAAATCTGCCGGACCGTTTTTTTTTCTCCTTCTTTTTTCTCCCCTCTTTTTTTTCTCCATTTTTTCCAGGACACGCACAACGCGCATGGGTTTGGATCCCCCTTTCACCCACAGAGGCTCAAGTTCGGGAAGCCGCAGCCTGGCGTTGCCCCCGCTTCGGTCCATCGGCGCCAAACCGCCGGGCGCTGTTGCCAGGCCCGGCCGAGTCGGTCGGAACTTGGGCCGAAGGGCTCCCCCGTTTGTCTGAGGGAGTTTGGACTTTTTTGGGGGCTCCCTTTTGCTTCTCGCCCCTCTCTCTTTTCTGTCTTTCGCCGTCTCCTTCCTGCCTTCCTTCCTGCCTGTCTTCCTTCATTTCTTTCTTTCTTTCTTTCTTTCTTTCTTTCTTTCTTTCTTTCTTTCTTTCTTTCTTTCTCTCTCTCTCTCTCTCTCTCTCTCTCTCTCTCTCTCTCTGGCTCTCTGTTTCTGGCTGGTTGTCTGGTGGGATGGTGCTTTTTGCCTTGTGCTTTCGAAACCGCTGCTTTCTTGCTGCCGGAATAGTTGTGCTAGGTAGAGTTTCCTACTACAACAGTGACCTTTGTCTTCTTGCACTTCTCCGGCATCCCCAGGATTTCCAGCATCCCCAGAGTCTTCAGCTCTGGCATTGCAACAAACCCTGGACATCTTCCATGCTCACGCAAGTGCGTCTCCTATCCCCTCGCATCCCCTCGCATCCCCTTGCATTGCCCTTGCA